TTTAAAAGTAAAAAATATATAATCGAACTGCAATATGAAATTTCGAACCGAAAATTTTAGTTCGGCCCGTTGCGCTCTATATTGTGCAATTTTAGTCATTAATGTGCAAGTTGTATAACAATATTGTGCACTTGTAATACATAAAAGTACAAATAATAATAATAATAATAATAATAATAATAATAATAATAATAATAATAATAATAACAAGTTTCATATCGTTCCGTTAGTTCAATTGTTTCGATTATATTAAAAAATAAAGCCGGCATCGTACCGAAATAACCGAGATTTTAAAATTAAAACAATAATCGAATCGAAATATAAAATTTAGAACCAAAATTTTTAGTTTTGTTGATTTCGTTCGCTATTGTTCAATCAGTTAGTCGTTAAAGTGCAACTCGTATAACACTACCGTGCAATTTTATAGCAGACATTCGTTAATGATTTGTTCCATACCAAACTAAAATTGAACAAAAATAATTGTTTTAATCCACCAGTTAACCTAATTACCCTAAATACTTGAAATGATTTATTTATTCATATGATAAAAATATTTTTAGTATTTTAATATTTTTATTTAAAATTTTATATCATTTTTGTTTGAAAAATCATACTATATAAAATAACAGAAATCAATAATGTGCATTCCCACATATAATAAGGTGCCTTTGATTTAAAATAATTGTGCAATCTATTGATCGATATTTTTTATGTGCATTTCAATTTTAGAAATATTTTTATTGTGTACGTTAATAAACATTATTTTGCATTTATCAAACTATTTAGATAATCAAACTATATTTAGTATCTGTATTTTTTTATTTAATATTTTATAGATGAAATTAAATAATACGTATAGATAAAATATGAAAATATTATTTTTTATATAGTTCGATTGATTCTGTTATTTTATTTTTATTTTTTATTTTTTTTTATTTTGTAAATAAGGCCGAAACATAACCAAAATAACTAGAATTTTAATATATGTGATTATGCACAATGTTGTGCTAATGTGCATTCTCGAACGCATTAATGTGCATTTGGTCTAACACTATTGTGCAGTCTTATAGTCAGTAATGTGCATGCATTCTGCACCATGGATTTTTTTTTTTTATGTGAAAGTCCAATCTAAAATCGATCCTAAATAATCTGTTTCTTCGATATATTAATTAACTGAATTAACCTAAATAATTAAAATAATTTATTACCTATATTTTAAAAAATATTTATTATTTCAATATTTATTATTTATTATTTTATATTGTTTTTATTTTACATTTTCATTTATTATATATATATATATATATATGTATAAAAATTATATACAAATAATATTTTTTCTAAACTTTTTAAGATCATAAATCTAGTTCATGGACTAAATTGAAATATAAACAAATTCTTGTAATTGCAATTAGATCCTTGAAAATTATTAAATTTCCAAAAATAAAACCCCAACCCAATCCCCAAATTCTCTAAAATCTGATCGAATCTCTATTTGAGATGCCAGGATGTTTCCTTTGGAGCCTCGGCGGACGTCGACGGCGGGACAGGAGGAGATGGATGCCTCGCCGGACTGAAGAACGAAGATGGCCGAAGAGAGGTTGTTGATGGTGGCGATAAAGGAAGGTCGGGCAGAGAGATAGTCAATTGTGCGGTAGATGCCTGACTGTGTAGTAGAAGAAGGTCGGACCGAGCAATGACGGCGGTGGGGGAGGCCAGCGGTGGCGTGCAGCGGGACCGTCGTGAGATTGAGGAGCCTCGATGGGCTGTGTAATTTCTTTTTTCCTCGTCAATCCTCGGCCCTCGACGGCTGCTGGTCGTGCAGCAGATGAAAGTCGGACATAATGATGACTGATATAGCCATATAAAGATGTACCGGCCCAAAGGCTCTCTACTCGACCGGACAGTGGCTCAATCCGTTCACATGTCGACATACACCCGTCGACATGCTCAAGTCGACTTCCTCCAAGTCGACTCTTAACAAGATTGATGCTGAGAAATGACAGATTCCATACAAGTCGACTCTCAGAAGTCGACATTGTTCAGTCGACTTCCCGAAAGTCGACATCTATTTGAGAAGACCAACGAGAGCGTAGCCTCCGAATAACCAGAAGATCCTGGGTCGACTCCTTGTACCTCGATACGTGAGGCACACCGACGATTCCACACATTTGGTACATTTCTTGGAACCTCTTGTCCTTCAATGGATAAGAAGAAATCTTGATATGACTCAGTAAGGAGGGGAGACGAATCGACCGGGGCAATTTAGACCTTTCAGGTCTATCGACTGGGGCATTTCGGGTACTTCAAGTAAGTGTTCCCTCCTATATAAAGGAGATGAAGTAACCCTAAACCCTAACTTCCATTCATTCTATATTCTCTCTCATAGCTGCTGCGCAGCCTCTTTTCATCTCTCTCATATACTGACTTGAGCGTCGGAGGCTCTACGCCGGAAATACCTCCGGCGTTGAGTTTTTGCAGGTGTTCTCGCTGTCTACTAGCGGTTCGAAGGCGATTCAAGCAGATCTGAGCTCAAAACTATCGGCTCTCTTCAGATCCAGAAGGAGACCCATCAATGACTGAGGCGGCAGAGGTCAGCGGTGGAGGTCGGTGGTGGCGGAAGCCGGCGGCGGGCAGTGGGACCGTCTTGTGGTAGAAGAAGATCCATTTGTGCGCACAGGTCCGACAGAGCTTTTGCGGCGGTCGCCGGAGAAAACAAACGCGGCTGACGGCGCTGGGCAGAGCCGGTGGTTGGCCGTCGGCGTCGGGGGTGGGCGGGTGTAGGCAGCGCCGGTAGCTGTGTGTGTATATTTTTAATTAACATTATTGCCAATACTAATAACTTATTTTTTAGTTTAACATAATATCCTCTCTCATTAGCTGTGTGTGTATATGTGTCTGCGTCATTGCGTGAATGTGTAGTGTGTGTATTGTGTGTGAATGAGGAGGATGAGTGGTGGGTCCCAGGTGAGTAGGTAGGTTGTGATTGGGTAGAGTGAGTTGGTGTTGTGTATATATTTACCATACTGCCCTTAATGTATTTAAAAATTAGGTTTTTGTTTTATCCGTTGGATCATCCGATCGGATGGATAAGATACATTCTTATTTTTTTCATTGAACACCATTCTCACCGGAGCGTGACTTTTATATATATATATATATATAAGAAATGATATTAAAATGCAATTAATACATATAACATGACCATAAATAATCAATATATTAATGGATAATCCGAACCTAATTATTTTTGGATTGAAACTAAATTAAATCTATCCAAGTCTAATAATGAAGCATGTAATTTTACCACATAGGATCATAAAGTATGCGAGTTTACCATTTAGACTCAGCACATTCGGGAATTCTATATAAGGGGGATTTATTTACTTATGTAACATGAACTAATCATCATTTCACATCACCTCTCTTCTAATTTACGTCAATCAATTTAAATTATTTCATTTTAGATATTATTTTAGTATAAGCTTAAAATCCACTAACAACTAACAATAATTTTTTTTTTTAAAAAAAATAATTACCCATACCCAAAAATCCAAATAAAATCAAAACATTTTATATCCAAACATTCCTTAGGAACTTTCACTATGAGGCACGAGCATCTTCAATAAAACGTAGTCTATACGGAAATATGTGACAAGAAAAAAAAAATGAAAACAAAAAATTTCATCTCCAATATATAATTCAGATTTTGAAATTAAGTGGACATGAATAATAAATAAATTTAATACAATGCATATAAGAAATTCTAGAGATTATTTATGATGTATGTATTTTTTTCATGAATCATCTTTATTTTTCTTATCATTCTTTGGGTATCATCAATTGGTAAATTAAATTGGACACAAATAAAAATATCCCACCATAGAAGCTTTCAGGACCCAACCATGGCTATTCTCTTTGCTATCAGAGAGGGCTTACACTTTGCATATCATAAGAACTGGTCTGAGCTGATTTGTAAATTGGAAGAAAAAGCTGTGGCGCGGGCTCTGTCATCTAAGGCTTCTTTCTCATCCATTTATAATTTCATTGTTGATGATATTTATTTCCTAATTGGTTGTTTAGGATTTGTTAATTTTTATGTGGATCAGTCTGTAAATTCGATTGTTTGGTATAAGAACATGTTGGTCGAAGAGGGAGACATCAATGTTTGATGCTTCTCCCTTTTTGTGTATCCAGTTTCTTAACATGTTGGTTAGTCGAACATTGTATGTTATGGAACAAAAAAAAAAAACTCACGTNACCTGCTCCACTACTAATTTTCCATTTTATATTTTATATTTATACACAAATCGCTAGTTGTTTTCATATCAATGTAAAGTCAATGCAGAACGATGGATGAGTAAACTAGTTGAAATAAAAAAAAGTTCAACTTAGAAAAAAAGAATTAATTAATCCAGTCTAGTTGATCATATTTTAATTATTTCGTGTGTAGAATTAGTATAGATAACACCACAACTTTAAGCTAATGTGTACACAACTAGAGTTAAATTACACGAGAAGCCCACATATTTTGAAGTACTTAAGCAGCCCTTTTTAAATAAAATATCTTGATTAAAAATCCTGTTAGTTTCAATTATAAAAAAACATGTAGTTGTTGGAGGAAACTTCTAAGCTTTGATGATTATAATATATCCATGTGCACAATTTCTTCGGTAAAGAAAAATATCATTTACTCTTCCAATATATACATTTCCACTAATATTTCATTGTATTAATAATCGATACATATTAATCAGCTAAATGGTTACATAATCATACATTTTCAAAAAATTTAAATACTTTCATATTCAAATGTCATCTTTTAAAGAACAATATAATAAAATTATGTCAATCTCATTATACAACCACTATTTTTCACACTTTCATATTCAAATATAATATTTTCATAAATAATATAATTAAAGTCTTGTAATGAATATGTATTTTTGTAAAAAATGTGACAAATAGAAGAATAGAAAATATATAGCTAAACATTTTACATGCCAATAGTCCAATTCCATTATCGACTGAATAAATAAAAAAAAAAAATTAAAAAAAAAGGGAGAAACTACAGAATTGGAACAGAAATCAACAAACATCCCTTAATCAAATATGATACGAACAAACAAGTAGTAGTTTGATATCTGATCATCAATATTCTAATCTGTTCCCACAGGGCAGTCTAAAGCTTGCCTTTCACTTATAAATAGGGTCTTTGTTTCTCATCATTCTTCACACAAAAAAAACACAAGCATCTTGATCAATTTCATCTTATTTCTCTCTATACTTTTTTCTTTCTTGAATCTTTTTTTAGATTGATTCCAACATGGGTGTGATCTCTTATGAACACGAAGAGTGCTCGAAAATCTCTCCAAGAAGGTTGTTCAAATCGTTCATCCTCGACGCTCACAACCTCATCCCTAAAGTCTTGCCGGGAGCCATCAAGAGCTTCGAGATCTTAGAGGGAGATGGTGGAGTTGGGACCATCAAGTTGATTACTTTTGGTGAAGGTAAAATAATTAACCACGTCACAAGTAGTTAGAAAAACTTGAAAAAAAAAAAGTAAAATTTATTAGTGAGACATGGAAAATATATCTAAAAGATGTATTGCAAATTAAGAATTATTTTATTTTATTTTTTTCCGAATTGCTGGCTTTGTCAATTTGAAATATGGTGAATCGAACAATGCAGGGAGCCAATTCAAGAGCGCGAAGCACAGAATAGATGAAATCGACGAGGAAAACTATGTGTTCAAGTACAGTGTAATCGAAGGAGATGTTTTGGGCGATGTTCTCGAATCCATATCGTATGTTGTGAAGGTCGAGGCTGGCCCAGAAGGAGGATCGGTTTGCAAAACCGTAAGCACTTACCACACGAAGAAGGAGGACCACCACATTACGGAGGATAAGATTAAAGAAGGGAAAGAGAAGGCTAAAGCCATCTTTAAGGCTGTGGAGGCTCACCTCCATGCACACCCTCAAGCTTACAACTAAATCTCCTGCATTAATTAATAAGTCCATGCATTGTGTTTCAAATTTTCAAAGCTTTTCATTAATCGTATAATTAATCAAGTGTGTTTGTTATGTGTTTGGGTGTGGTTTACAATAAATGTGCATGACATCTTTATGCATGAAATTTGGGTATGTATTGTTAGTGAAAGTGATCTTGAAGTATCGTTTATGTGTAATTTCCTACATTGAATAATACGTTTTCATAAAGATTGTGGTTTTTGTTTTTTCCGAATCTTTTATTGGATAGCGAAATGAATGAAGTTTGTTGTTGTGTGGTTTAAATAAATTAGTATTCAATCATGTCTATTTCACATATATATTATATATTATAAGTTATTTATATGCGTATAGTATTAAAATTATAAGTTAGATAATAATATTAAATTTTAAACATAGAGAATATAAGTTATATTTATGCATATAACATTAAAATTATAAGTTAGAAAATGGTATACCGACTTATCAGTCCGGCGGAAGAGATCGACAGCCGAGGTCTTTGGAGAACCGTCTGGAGAAGGCTCGGACCACAAAGAGTTCGCCCCTTCTTATGGCTGGTACTGAAAGGTCAACTTTTGACCAACGTTGAACGAGGAGTCTAGGGCTGCAAACGAACCGAACGGCTCGCGAACCGCTCGCGAGCGCTCAAGTTTGACCGAACTCGAGTCGAGCTCGAACGACTCGAGCACAAACTCGAGTCAACTCGAGTCCATATTTCGCATTGTCGAGCGGCTCGTCGAGCGGTTCAAGATATATGTGAAGTTATTAAAATACCCCTTATATATTAGCATAGGTGCTTAATGATAATTATACTTTTCCACTTAAAAATTTAAAGCCAAGCTTGAGCATTTTGATTTCGAGCTTGAGCTCGAGCCTCATAAATCGAGCAGTTGAAAAAAAAAATCTATCCTGCTCGATAAGGCCAATACTCAGCGGCTCAGCTCGTTTGCAGACCTAAAACGGATACACTTAACTTTTGTTTTGAGCTGCCATAGGTGTTCGTTCATGGAAGAGTCTCTGCCATAGGTGATTATCAATTATTGCTTGAATTAAAATTTGGTATCAAACATTTGCGAAGATCTTTATTAATTGTTGTAATAATATATCAAAGAAATAAATATATTATTACAAGTTTTATTTTGATAGTTGGGTGAATTTTTTTTTTTTAAAAAAAATCGATAGTAATATATAAACACACCCACACACACTCACACACATATATTAAAAGTTATTTATTTGTGAGAAAAATAAAATTCTAACTATATATCTTTAATAAATAGAATCAATATAAATTACACTCACTAAAATTATATAGGTTGATAAAAATCTATATCTGCATCTATATAATGTACCAATCGATATTACATAATTGAAATAGTTTTGGACATACATTCTGCCATGAACTCTAAGATCGGTAAGAAAAACCGTTTATATTTCGCATATAATTAGGCTTTATTTATTAGCAAATTTTACATATAAAAAAATAATTATCTTTTTCTTTACATAATGGCTAATACACATTAAGTATAATTCGACTTGTATAGAATGATTGATTGATTACATATAATTTAAATATAACCATAATACCAATTTGATAGTAATTTTGTTAAAATAATTTCAAAAAGCAATATTCATTAAAATTAAAAAAAAAATTATTTTGATTAATTTTATTATCATCTTATGGTTGCAAATATGAATCTATACTTATATAATAAGAATTACTATTTACCAAAAATAGTAAGCAAAAAAATGTAGCAACATTAATGACATACTATTTCCGGCAAGTTTTGTTTTTATCTTTTATTTATTAAATGAGAAACATTTAACTATGCCTTCAATCACGGATACTAAGTTTTGATAACCAAATTGCTCAATTTTGGTACAAATAAAGCTTTTAAAAATTCGAGTTTTATTTTAATACCAATCCTTTTTAAAATTAATTGATATCAACATTCACTAATTTGGGCAAAAAAAACTTGCAAGTTCATAACCCATAATAATTGTGTGCAATTCATCAAAATCAATGATATCACATAATTATGATTTGTATGTTTTCAGTCGTGTCGAGTTTTTAAAGAAAAAAATTATTTGGACGCCAAAAAATTTTGTGTAATAAAATAAACATGCCGATCAAAAAAATAAAAAATCAACCGACACACACTCAAATTCTAAGAGTTCTTTTGACTAATCGTAAACACCCAAAAAATTCGAACATAAAGGTAAAAAAATCGAACATAAAAACCTTAAAAATAAAAATTTCACATTTATTTTTCGGGCTAAACAACTAAGATCAACAAAATCTACCGGCGCACACTCAAATTCGAAAGATTCTTTTGATTAATTGTAAAAACCAAAAAATTCGAACATGAAACTACAAAAATCGAAAATAAAAACTCTCAAATTGAACAAACCATATTTTGTTTCGTGCAAAACACCTAAAACTAACTAAATGAAAACTAAAAAAAAATGGATTTATAAGACCCTCAGTGTTAAAACGGTAAAGTTGGAAGAAGATAGATGAAAAAAGACAAAAGAAGAAGCTGGAAGCGGCGAAAAATAAAGGAAGAAATGTAGCCCTTGGTCCGATAATTTCACTATTTATACTATGTTCAGTCTAATATAACCCGATTTGCGTTGAGTAATATGGATCATTAGATTATTTTTTCTGTTTTGTTTGGGCCGATATGAACTTTTGAAGCCAACATTGTAAATTCGGCCAATATGAACTTTTTGAAACCCACATTTTTCAAAAACATTCATATTTTACAAGCCCAACATGATTAATATAAATAATTACACGTATCTTATAATAAGTATTTGTTAGGTTTAATTATAATCAGTGATCCGTGCTTTATTATATAATTTAAATTTAAATACAAAATTATGTTTTAAAAAGGACAGAAATAATAAAGCCTCGTGCATCGCACGGGTACTGTACTAGTTATGATTGAAAAGTACATAAAGTATATAATAAAATAATTATGTTTGAATTATATTAGCTTAATGAATAATTTAAAATATTAATAAAATTTTATAAAATGTATTCAACTTAACCATGAATAAATTAAAATTCTATTGAATATTTCATTTGTATTGAAAGGATAATACGAAATTAAATTATATATTCATAAATTAGTTTCTGATAATCGGGTAAAATTAAGAATTATAAATTTCACATTAAATTATCTATATACATCAATAACACTATTCAAGGTGTTAAAAAATAAAACTTTTATTATACACTATTTTATAATGAAAAATGAGTAAATAAAATTATATAGTTAAGTAATAATTGAAATTATAGCTTTTGGCAGTAATTGAAATACATCATATATCAAAATGCTTAAATTATTTATTAATTAAATGATTATAGATGTTAAAATATATATATATATAGACAAATAATATTATAATTCAAAATAAAATATTTGCCATGAAAATTTTGTGTTGCGCAAGAGATAAAAGTGTTAAGAACCGAGATGATTTTGTATTTTTTGTATAATTTTTTTTTTTTATTTTTTATGCTCAATTCCCCACTTATATACCCGCATATGGGACCACACTTTTTGCTATTCTTTTACTTAATATAAAATAAAATAGAAATAGATAAACCCAAACTAGGCCTTCAATAACTTGACCCAATTTATGCTAACAGCAACTTCATGAATCTTCGCAGCCCATTTCCTTCACTGGCCCGATAACTCTCAACCCATTTCCCTTCTCTTCTCAGCCCAAGTCTCTCTATATCGGATACATGACAATACTCCCTTCTCGAAAGAGTCTCGTCCTCGAGACTCATACATTGAAAATGTAGGTATTGCATCCAATGGTTCCCCTTTCCAAATCTTCAAAGGCTCGAAAGTAAAATCTTGGCAGCTCAAAGGTAATCCACGTTTCTTGGCAATAATTGGCCCAATTTTAAGCTTCCTAAATGCTAAGCTCAATAATATAGCAACCGACCTCAATTTCAAATAAGATAGCCCAGCAAAATTTATCTTTTTCTTGACGCTACTGCCATTTTCCACTCCAAATTGATTAGGCCCAAAGCAAGTTATGATTAGGCTCCCAAATACCATAAAAAGAACCAGAGCCCAATAAAATGACCAAGACCCACGTAATGTTAGCCCACAAATTGTAACAATAGTCAGCCCATAATTAAAACTCACCAGCCCAACACACTTCTCCACAATCACAATTTCGTTTCCAGAATCGTCCATGGCCACCAACAGAATCCCAATTTTTTTCCGATCGCGAACCTTCATAATTCGGCGCCGGCGACTTCGAGCTTTAGCGATCCGGCGAGACCAAGCTTCCGATCGCCCACCATGCTTGGAAATCCAACGAGAACAAGACACCTCTCGACCATTGTTCTTATTTTTAAAATTAACGCTTCTGCAAATTTCCCTTTCTCCCCAAATTTCGAAATTCAGTCGCACCTCCGGTCCTTTTCTCCGGTCACCCATCGAAGCAATTCGCCGCGACCACGCGTCCGACCGACCTTTGCACGTTGGAATCCGACGGATCCGAGCGTTTTCTCGACCGCTATTTTGGTTCTTCTCGTAACTGAGGGGTCGGCAGCTCCGACTGCGAGTACCCTTGCTTTTTCCGTTCTTCGTCGTGGAAAATCCGACGAGGAAATACCATCTCCGCTCCTTCTTGGTCTGTTGTGAGTAAGATCTACATCTACCGACACGTTTTGGAGGCCAACGAGACCAAGCCTCTTCGAGGCCGCCGCGCAGCCTCATGCTCGTCCTCTTTACACCGCCCTTGCTATGTGTTCGTCTTCCCCGGTCTATCACAAAGCACGACCTTCTCGACGTTTTCCTTTCCTCGTGGAACAGTCCCAGGCAAAATGGATCTTCAGACTCCAAATCCCTTGAATTTGGCCCTGGTTCGAGGAACTCCTCAAGAAGTTTTGGGGCTTCAATTAATTCACCGATGTGTTCCTTCACCAGTTCATTTTCACCATCTCCGAACACTTCAATTGGTGGTACTGCTTGTATCGGTAAGTACCTTTCTTCTGAATTTTTTTGAAAAATGGAGAGGGATTCTAGGTTGTTTGGGGTCTGAATTGTGGTGTTTTGTGGTGTTGGATTTCCTTGTTGATTTTCACTTGAATTTGGCTGTGAATTCTTTTCCTGAATTTCATGAAAAATTGGTTGCGATTTTTGAGGGCTGGGGATTTTAAGTTCAGACCCAGAAGTATTGTAGGCTTCAGAGTTGGCTACGAACACATCTGAGAAATTTTGTTTGTGATTTTCTGGGGAAATTTGATGGGGTTCTGGATTG